GAGAGGGAGGGAGGGAGGAGGAAGGGGAGGGGGATGGCGCCGGCAGGCATAGTTGCAGCTTCAATCCTGGCGACCATGAAGAAGCTGTTCAAGATGGACAGCGTCACTCATGTGGCAAGCGTGGAGCTGTGGGTGTTGATGACAACGCTGCTGCTGGTGGTGAGGTTCGCGCTGGATGGCTTGGGGCCGTGGTACGCGGACAGGGCCACGGCAGTCACCATCCAAATCATCGAGATGCTCAACTACTCCATGGTGCACTACACCATGGGGCTGATGCAGCTCTCGGCCAAGACGGTGAGCGACTACTTCCAGGTCTGGGCGGTGCTGCTGGTAACCCTGCAGTACAGCGTCAAGACTGGGCGCCTGTACCGGAGGTCCAAGAACACGCCGCTGCTGGATGTCATGTCATCTTTTTGGACAGCCAATCTCCTCCGAATGCAGACCTTCTCCCTTCTCAGGATTCCCCTTTGGGTAATCTGGGCCCTCAACGCAGTCCGCATCATCTCCTACTTTGACTCAACTGATAGGGCCGTCACCATCAACCAAGAGAACACCAGGCTGGTCAGCGACTATATGCGATACGAGCACACACTCGGTCCCTCTGGCGATGCAGCCAATTCCGGCGGTGAGTTCAGGATGCAGTCATACAAGTACTTGGTCTGTGGGGAAGACCTGGTGCTTCATGACGCCCAGCAGGAGAGGACAACTGCATCAGCACAGTACAGGATTCGGTTGGATCCGGATAACAATAGCAAGCTCATCACCATACAGAAGATATGGGATTTGGATGCTGGCAGCAGTGGGTTACTGGGCGGCACCAAAGACACTGGCAACCGATTGAAAGACGTCTGCCTTTCATTCGCCCTGTACAAGCTGCTGTGCCGTCGGTTCTATAATCTCCCGATACATGAGGCTACCCAAGACAAGACGAGGCGGCTCGTATTCGACTACATCCTGCAGGAGAACACCGACAACTATGAGAGGGCATTCCGCGTCACCAAGGTGGAATTGTCTTTCCTCCAAGACTTGTTCTATAGCAAGCATGCTGCCATGTTTGCAGGGGGATTTCCAGTCTTCACTATGCTCATGTCTTTGTTTCTTGTTGCGGCCACCCGCTATCTTGCATATCCGGTCCATTATATACCAGAGAGAATGGATCAAGCCGACAAAAATACCATCACTCACGGGGTGATTGTCACTCGCATCATAGTTGGCCTTATCATTGCCAAGGAGCTTTTGGAGGTCTATCAATATGTATTCTCGGAATGGGCAAAGGTTCTCCTGATCTGCAAGTACATCCAGCATCGGTGCATGCAGAATCTGGTGGCGGAGGCAGCAATGAGAAGTATGTTTAGGTTCATCAGGGGCAAATGGGATCAAAGGATCTTCCAGTATAACCTTCTGATTTCTTACTCGCATCCTTTGAAGAAATTCCCCCGATCCATCAAATTGGAGTCAGAAGTAAAGACGGCTATATTTGAGTCGTTCAAGGGCCTGCAGCAGCATCCAAAAAGGCTGGAAACCTACTTCTTAAATGCATTCGGATCAAAGGAAGCCCTTATGCAACAGCTAACATGGGCAGTTCAGTTAGAGGCTGATACCCACAGGATACTGGTCTGGCACATCGCAACATGCTTCTGCGAGATACATTTCTCTGATGAAGCGAAAAAACTCAAGGTTCTATTCCTTCGAAATAGGCTCTTGGCTAGGAAATCAACAACTTCATATGATGTGTGGCCACATTACTTAACTGCTGTCAGCTTATCAAACTACTGTGCATACCTTCTTACCAAAGCGTTGGTACCAGACAACGGCTTTGTTGTTACAAAGGTCTTGAATGCCGTACGTAATGAAACCTTTCGTGCTACTTATTGCTCGTTCTCCCAATCAATGAAAGATGTCTACAGGAAACTTGTGAAGATTGCCATTGAGCTCTCTAAACAGTCTGATGAGGTGGTCAGTGGAACAAGTGGAGCCCCTGAAAGTTCGGTACTCTATGAGCAAGTGCCCCCGATGGTTACTGATGAGGAAGATCCCAACAGAATGGGAGATGGTGATATTAACAGTTCCATAACCAATGACCAGGTACCGAGTAGGGAATATACTGTTAAGGGTGACGATGCCATCCATAATTCGATAACCCAGATGGGTGCAAAGCTTGGGAAGCAGTTGATAGAGAGTTACAATTCCGACAGTGTAGGCCTATGGAGGGATCTAGCAGTGTTCTGGACAGGTTTCCTCCTCAACTTGGCAGCATCAACCAGAGCAGCCAAACATAAGACACGACTGGCTGGAAAGGGGGAGCTCATAACACACCTGTGGGTTTTGCTGTCTCATGCCGGGTTTCTCGGAAATGCCATGCATGGGCAAACACTCTTAGACCCACATGACCTTGATGATGTCGACCCGCTCAGATGATGAATTTGATGAGTCCAATCCATCCTTGCGCGGTGGTCTGCAGGCTGTTCGGTCGATTTGGCTGTTGTTTTCCAGCAAAAAGGCAGCAGGGGTTTGAGATTTTTCTTTTACTGTACCATTCCCGACAATTTAATTGTATCGTGCTATGTTTACTTTGGCAAAGCTGTAGTGCATCCTTGCACCATGCAGTCATGCACATGTTGTCTCGTCAATTTGGCTGTTGTATCGTAGCTTCCAGTGCAATTGCACGGTTATTTAAATTGTATCATTTGAGATTTGGTTTCGCTATGTTGTCTTAGATCTCAAGTGCAACAAATCTATTGTGTAGTTCATCAAGCAAGGACATAAACTAATTGTTCAACAGAAACTAGGATACAGAAAGTCGTATAACCATATTCAGGTTCCTAAGCAATTAATATGCATTTCAGTTATTCATTTGGTACTAACCTGCAGGGCTCATAAGTTTCAGACAAGGGAAACAGAGCATCATATCGATGACTAACAAATTTATGCCTTACCAAGATATGAAGATAATCCAACATTATGGGTGGATCTACTGAGGATTACAGTATATTGTAGAACCAGTTAATTGAAAAGTACTACTAGGATTCTTCTGAACATAGAATTCACCCAGACCTGGGGGGGTTATCCGACGAAATCTGTCCGGGCGGTGGCGATTCCTCCCCGGGCTCCGGCCGGCCATTAGCACGGCCTCCCCGTAGGACGTACAGGCGGTACGGGAGACCTCGGCCGTGCCCGCGCACACGGAACTGCGGCGAACTCCATTCCACCCGCGCCTCATCCTTCTCCGAGGCCAGAGGCGAACCGGGGCTTCGCTGCGGACTGGAGCGGGCACCATTGCCTCGTGCCACGAGCTCCGGTCGGCGTACGGAGGAGGAACCAAAGGGGATCCCAGCCAGAATCACTCTGTCACGGCGGTCGGCGGATGCACGAAGGCGGCGCGTCAACTGACGAGGAAGAGGCGGAGCAGAGCAAGACGGCAGGGGATTCTAAACAGCCGCCGTGTATCTGAGGGTGGGACCAAGGGGTCGTTAGAGGGTGCGACCTGGCCAGTGGGTCCGCTATATAGAGGAATGAACCAGATAATACCGTAACTAAATCGACATATACAAGTGATACAAAAGGTGTTTTCGGCGGTCATCCGTGTGACTCAACATCATTGTGCATTTTTTTTCCATGCTCTATTTTTTCCACCAATGCATTGAGATGTAAGTTTTGCCGATTCCTCCCAAAGCAATGCTCGGTGCCACTGAAAAAAAATGTAGTTTTTCTTATCAAGACGGTACAATTCGCAGAACATAAGGCAAGGTAGCAAAAAATGTTGTTTTTCTGATCGAGATGAAACAATTCATCATTTATTCTTACCATGTCCATTCGCTTCAGTGATTTGGCACACAATTCACATTACTTTCAACTTGTTGTGACCAACTATACCAAATTGACCAGTTCAGCTACAATCTGATTGTTTGGTAGCTTTGTCAGAGCACTATCTAATGATTCACTGGATAGATCAAAATATGGTCATCTCTTGGCAGAAATCAAAGGTTTACTGGAGAATAGGGTGTTTGTTCATGTTAAGGTTTTTCGTGATCAAAACAAAGTTCCACATTGCTTAGCAAATTATGGTAGATCTGGGGATAGCACTGTGTGCTGGCTTAACCAATCCCCTCCTTTTATTTCTGAACTTGTTGCTAAGGATTGTAATTCTGTGAGTTTGGAATAAAACACCCTATTTCCATAAAAAAAAAACTACACCAAATTTGTTTGGTAATTGGTTGGGTGGTATTCATCATTCCTTGAAGGGCCAAATCCATGTGGGGGTTTGTGCCTTGCATTTGGCAATGTTGAATTGCCGGAATGAGTGCATTTTTAACAAATCATCTATTCCATATTTTTTGTAGCTTATCTTTGGAGCTACGGTGTTAGTACTTACATGGTCATCGCTGCATCATGTGGACACACGAGGGCTTGGCCTTTGGGTGTAGCTGCATGGAAATGATTGGGGGGGGGGGTCGTTCAACAAGTTTGGCTGGCGTGCCTAGTAGTAAATTATGTGGATAAGCTATGTAATCCTGCTTTTTCGACTGGTGTGGTCGTGTGTTGATGTAAACCCTTTTGGTACTTGATGATTTGGACTTTTTATGTACATTAAATGGTTGTGTGCATACATGATGAAGAGGACGGGTTATCCCTTTTTTTATTTATTTATTATTAAAGTTGATGTAAGACAACAAGATCAACAACAACAAATAAAGTACAAAACATGGAAAACCATGGCAAATTGATTAAAATACTTTCATCGGTCCCTCCAACAAATACATAGGGTTGCAAGGCTCTTGCCTCAACCAATGACCTTACCGAACTACTCACACATGAAGATCAGATCGACGAGAAACTCATGGAAGAACACATCATGAAGATTGACTGATTGATAATATGTCTTACAATGGATGTCGTGTGTGACATACGGTTACAAGTATGTCTAGAAGGCTGAGAATTATGGTGGCGGTGAAGGTTGTGGCCATGGAGATGGAAAATGGTGGTGACTAGGGTTGGTGGAGATGGCTTCTATGAATATTATGATGAAAGTATGGTTTTGCGATGTTCTGTTGCTCAGTCGGCATCGGCCCCTTTATAAAGGTTATTCAGGTGGATCTGATGCCTCAGTTGGCAGTCCATACGACCGCCCATACGAGCGGGCGCGCTCATATGGAACACCATCTTTTGCTCTGTCTTATCTGCTGCACCTCCCATTTGATCTCCTCTATCTCCACTTTACTCTTTATATGTATTTGCTTGATTTCGTCCATAAATAGCTCATTTCCTATGGAAACAAAATAAAGATCGGATATTTGGAATCATTTGCATTCATTAGTCATTAGTAGAAATATCGGAGTGCATATCTCGGTTGAAATATATCGGTTTAAACTCAGGTTAGAGGAGTGTAAAAAAATTACTCATCAAACGACACACAAAAATACTGCCATGGCAGTGCCTTTTATTTTTTGTTGTCATAAGATAGTTGTGGCGGGTGCAAATGAAAGCCCGCCACAATTAGGTATATAATCAGTGGCGGGTGCACACCCTCCACTCATGGCATGTTAGCAGTGGCGAGCGCCCATGAGAGCCTCGCCCGCCACTGCTAGGCATTCCTACAGTAGTGTGTCCGCAAGGGAGGCGGGTTGGCGGCGGGTGTGGTACCATCTCCCGGGACTTCCGCGCCGTCCTGGGAGCGGATCTTGAAGACGATGTTTGTCTCCCTCGCGCCTCTTCTTGCCTCGTCGGCCCGAGCTTCCGACGATCTCCGGCAGGCTGGATCTGGTGGCTAGGTGAGGGTGGAGTGCTGGTGCTGCTGGTTGGGGGGGGGGATCCCTTGGCCTGCTGTTGCGGCCACGATGCCGGCGACGCCCCGGGCATCGTCCACCTTCTTGAAGGCGGCAATGAGATCCGCCACTGACCTCTTCCTCCATGTCCCGGGTGAAAACACAAAATCCTAGGATTGGGTGGCGACGACGCTCTGGTGTTGTTCTACCTCTTGAAGGGGCCACCTTTGGGATTGTGGCGTGGTGATAGGGCCTACGACGTTGGAGGTGGACTATCGATGATCTTCATTGGGTACCGGCTTGGCTGCTTGCGATTGTCATGTTCCTCGCCGACCGCCGTGGCGATGTATGGGGCGTTGTTCTATGTGCCGAGGTAGTTGTGCTTTCATCCTCTCATCGGCAACCTATTGGTCTTGTTCATTCGAGCTCGGGGTGAGTGGCTTTGCCAGCTGATGGAGTGGCATCCTTTGATCCAGGACGAGAGTGCAGGGGGCCTTCTTTGGGGCCAGAGACGGATCACAGACCAATGACGGTTGGCCTCCTTGGAGTTGTTGGAGCGTGGTCTTCCTCCGGCGGCGGGTTGCTCCCTTTTCTTAGTCGCATCATTTGCAGGATCTTGTTCACCGATGGCCTTGATTCTCAAGCCTGCGCTTGGGCATTCAGAGCTTGTTAGTGGCTCCTTTGGCATCTTGTATCTTGCCGTTTCTTGTTATTGTTTTTGTTCTTTTTTCTTTCTGAACTTATGTTTTGTATGATCGTTGATCTGGTGGTTGCTTTATAATATAAAGCGGGGAAGCCCTTTTTCATTGATAAAAGTGAGGATCATGGAGAACAAGCCTTGAAATGCCTTTGTCAAACAATTAAGTTAGTAATTAGAATTGCCCCGTTCGGAGGTACGGATATTAAAGGAGGTAGCAAAGAAGAGTGAAGACAACGGAGAACCAGCCTTGAAATGCCTCAAATAATGAAGTTACTAAATAGTGGTGCATTTGTTTGGATGATGGAAGATCTCAAAATTTACGTTTAAAGGAATATTTCTTCCGTACTCAGATGGATGATCTCCTCTGACACTCAAATAAACTTTTCTATTTTGGATAGCCTGATTACAATTGTTGGGACAAACCTAGGGTCGACCTGATCGCCCCTAGGGCCTCGAGGTTCGCCGCCCTGCAAACGAAGAACGAACGAAGAACGAGGAAGAAGAAGAACAAGGGAGAGAGATAAAGGTAAAGGTAAAACGATGATATATTGATAGATCGATTGTGTGTTGTTCAATCGGCCGTCACCCCTTACATATATATGAGGCGGCTGGACTTTCCGTACAAGAAAAGGACTCAAATCCCGTCCAAAACATCAAAAATTAACCTAACTCGGACTACGAGGGCCGGAACTTCCGGTCAGCCCGGAACTTCTGGGCTAAAATTACATCAAGTAGCCCTCTTGCACAGCTCCTGCAGGTCGCATATGGATTCGGATCGCGATGGTCCCAAAAGCAAAGTTGTAGATCTTGCAATGAAGAAAAATTCCTTAGTTGATCACTTTTTCATCCGAGGTCATCTTGATGTCGAAATCGGCCCCGCAAATCTGCAAATAATGTTAAAATTCCAGTTTTCGGGATGCACCGCGTGCAAAGTTTCTGTTTAGCGCGAAACCTCCCCGGAACTTCCGGGGTAGACTTATGCAGCACATCATTTTGACTATAACTTTTGCATACGAATTCCGATTATACATTTCTTATATCAAAATCGATCGTTTCGACGAGACGAAGACAATCCGTATAGAAACTTGTCCCATATGAGGCCATCTTGGGGGCGTAATCAGCAGAGTAGTGTTCTGAATATAAAATCTGAGTACTTTGAACACAACTTCGGCCTTAGAGATGAGACCGGATGACTATGGCCCAATTATCTAAGTTTTTCCTTTTGACGATACGGAATTTTCTCACTTTGAGCACTTCTGCATTTGAGGCCATCTTAATTAAATTCTTGGTTGTGCCAAAATCTGGCGTCCTTGCCGCTCATCTCCTCTCATTCGTTTGGATGAAGGTGAAAGAAGGAGCACACTGGATTTTTTCGGCACACAAACGCCCCGCCGCACGAGCGGCGCCTCGGCCGCATGAACGGCCTTACACTACTGGGCACACACCCTGACTCGGCTCATACCATCATCGTGGCTCGGCAACACACCGGCGCTCACAACCAGTACATGAGTGAGGGATTTATACCGAGGTGCACGACCCGGCCACCACACCGGCCGCAGCTAACAACCTGTGCATGGCCAGCCCACTAATTAACTGACTCCTCGCATGTACTAGCTAGCTAACAAATCTATCCTACCGGCCATGCAACTAACAGCCGTGTATGCTGCTAGTCCTCCCGGCAAAAAAAGAAGAAGAAAAAACTACTGGAGTAGCTGCTAGTCCTACTGTGGCGGACTCGGACGCGAGCCAGGCTCACGCGCCACCACGACACAGACGCTCACCACGGACACAGGCACGGCCACGCAGCCGCGCCCGAACTCGCCCTAGACCTAGACACACCCGCTGGTCTCCGAAGCTTATACTTACCTAACAACAATCAATAGTTGGTGAATTGACCATGTAAATATAAGGGAAAATTTCTACCCATTCAATCAGGGCTCTCCAATTTTGCACCTGAAACTATACCATACACAAGCAACTAAACCATACCAAGTTTCTGGCTACTTATACATTAACCCCAGCTGTACACCGAGCACCGACACGGAATCTCTCATCCAGCAGAGTACTTGGATTTCAGGAACGAACGCGGTTTTTGGGTGGGGATCATTGGTGTTCCACGTCTGTGCTCACGTGTTCTTCAAAGTACGCTGTTATGGTTTTCAGCTTCCCATTGAGGAAATTCTTCTCCACCTGCCAGAATGAAAGGGATCCACTGTGACTGTGTGACATTGGTCCAAAAGGCATCGCCAGACCACTCTGACCGTCATGGAACTTCATAGGTCAACTAGACAAAGATCATGACTAAAGGACGTACCTCAACCGCCCATGGAGGATCGACCGACAAGCACATGTCCGCCAGTTGGTCTAGGTCGCTGTTGCGAGGAAGAAACATGACTACTCTCGAAGCGATAGCCGTGGCAAGTTTGAAGAGATGGTACCTGAAGAGTTCAACAAGGACGTGTGAACATTTGGGAGCACAGCAAAGAAACAAACTATATTCTGAACCGAGGAGCTCACCCATCACAAGGCTTAAGCATGGTTTTGATATCGTAAACATCGACTTTTGCATAGTCTGGTCCACCCCAAGGGGGTGACATGAAAACAGTTTCTCCCTGCAAACAACCACTTTTCACAAAAGCATACAAACTAACTTGTAGAACAACAAGAGTAGCATAGCAAGATCGTCCTAGTCATCTCCTCGCCTCCGCTTTGGTATGCACACAAAGATGGTACTCCCTACTGCCAATATACTATAAGGACATTTCTTTTCAGTTTTGCGTAAAAAAGGAGCCAAGTGCCTTTGTTCTTTTTAGCTTAGCGATGATGCTAAGCTTAGATTAGCACCTTCTGTCACATCACAGCTGCTAGCTAATTACTCTCTCCTTAATGTATGGTAAGTAGATGCTCTAAACAACTTCTATTATATTATTAAAAAGGAAGTTATCATTATGGCAGTCATCTATGATTATGTTTTGCAACTGAACTTGAATGCTACTTAATGGTCTGTCCTCTAATAAACCCCAGACTGGGGCTGTGCCTTATAATCTAAAAATGGTTTTATAACAAAACTTCCTCTTGTGGGACTTCTAATGGAAAGATACTGGTACCCTACCTAATGGTTACATGTAAACGAAAATGGCCAAACAAATGCATTATCAGACAACTATGAAGATATGCAGCTACAGGAAATGACAGGTGCACAAAAACTTAAAGGTGTCATATTTTCAAGGCATAAGGCATACCTTCAGATGAGGTGCTATATTAATAAAATCTCCTACGATGAAGTCTATGTGATCATTTACTCCGTAAATAGTTGCATTATGCTGTGCATAACCAATCTTCTGTGGGTCAATGTCAACAGCAACAACATGCTTACACCTGAAAAATAAAAGATTGTGTCAGAGAGGTGGAAGTTTACACATCATATGAAAAGGATGACTTCTAAAGGGAGATTGTGTCAGAGAGGTGGAAGTTTACACATCATATGAAAATAGCTATACAAAAGGGAGAGTTCATCCAAACACATTGTTTATTATCATTTACTTAAGATATAAGAACACGATAACAGTGGCATACTTTGTAGCAAACTGGATGGTATTACCACCAACTCCTGCGAAACAGTCAATCAATATGCCCGCACCAACACGAGATGCATGATGCTTTGCGATGAGCTCTGGCGTCACTGAAAACCACCCCTCTTCATCCATCTTTATACCACTATCAAAAAGGGAGAAAAGCGAGTACCGCTGATTCCAATACCTGGCAATGTCACTGGACATGTTTGCCAAGTCCGGACATGAATGACCTGTAGAATGAAATAAATGGTTAGTTATCTGATATATATATAAACAGAAAGAGTACAAGAAGGGTAGGTATAGCAAAAAGCTGCATATTGAACGCCACCCTCGCCAAGGAAAACTAATCTGTCAGTCAACAATATCATCTCTGAAAAAAAAACTAGAAGGTCTAGCCGAGTAATATTATCTTACACGATTGAGATCTCCTTACTCTCTTTTTATTTTTGGTGGTAGTACCTTCTTGGTTCATTTCTAACACTTCAGTCATTGAACTATCATTCTGCATATTTTTGTCATATTGTGCTTCATCAATGGTAGCTATCACACTAGATATAGATAATATGTTAATAAAAACATCCATATGCCAAGGAAGCAACGAAACAATATTTTAGTGTAATAAGGCACACCTTATATATATCAACTCTTTGTCAGGAATGTCTGATAAACTGAGTGCTTTATTGTAAATAACTTCATGTCTCTGCTCATCCAGATGTGTGTCATCACTAGTTTGATCTGCCATGCGACTAGCCAATTCCATATCTTCAACAAATGAATGATCTATTGATATCAAGAAACAACAAATGGTATATCAGAAGAAATTTGTGGATGTTTGCAGCAAAATAAGAATAAAAATATGTATCGATTTGCTTGTGTTATTGTCTATGTGTTGTATGTGGGGGCAACAAATCTTTACCTTCATCTATTGTTTTGGCTGCTTTATTGTGGTTTTCAGTTGTTTGAGATCCCTACAAACTTGGAAGTTTCAAATAGCTTGCATGAAATGCTTTAACACAATTCGGATAATGAAGGCCATGAAATGAAAAACAACATCAACTAGACGTAATCGCAAACAGGTTGTCTACATCAACATCAACTAGACGTAGAAATGATAAAGTTTTTTAACAATAAAAGTACTTCTCTTATGCCGGTTATCTACAGATGTATCGGTACACTCAGTTTATGGTCATCTCTATAATATGTGAAGAATCAAGACCTATTTACAGAGGTGTGTATACGCTTGGAGAACACGGCGAGGGATACTTTTACCATACATGGATGGCATCATGATCTTAGGATTGGCCCTCCCACGGTTTAGGCGTCATATAGTCTTTTCATGACTACTTATATCTTGTCTTTTTTTACTTTTTGAGACTGGACTTTGTTTGACTGTGTGCATCCTAGTTATGCATAGACTGGGTGTAATAGTTAAATATTTTAAGTAATAAAGCGCCCTTTGTCGGTGAGGGATACTTTTACCATACATGAATGGCATCATGATCTTAGGATTGGTCCAGCTGGCGGACAACGCGCGGGGCATCGACCGCCTCTCCGTTGTGCCACGCATCCCACGTGATCCCAACTCAATTTTGCAACATGACCCTTGTTGCAATTGCAACAAGAGTTGCAATGGTGACGATGCACTAGTGATACGTCTCCAACGTATCTATAATCTTTGATTGCTTCATACTATATTATCTACTGTTTTGGGCAATATTGGGCTTTATTATCCACTTTTATATTATTTTTAGGACTAACCTATTAACCGGAGTCCCAGCCCAGATTGACTGTTTTTTGCCTATTTCAGTGTTTCGAAGAAAAGAAATATCAAACGGAGTCGAAACGGAACGAAATCAACTGGAGAAGTTATTTTTGGAAGGAAACCTACCGGATAGACTTGGACCCTACGTCAGAAGATGAGGGAGGTGCTCACGAGGGTAGGGGGGCGCCCCTGCCTCGTGCCCCCCCCCCTTCGGTCCACCGACGTACTCCTTTCACCCATATATACCCACGTATCCTAAAACTTCCAGAACAGAGATTAGAACGGGAGTTCCGCCGCCGGAAGCCTCTGTAGCCACCAAAAACCAATCGGGACCCTGTTCCGGCACCCTGTCAGAGGGGGGATCCCTCACCGGTGGCCATCTTCATCATCCCGGCGCTCTCCATGACGAGGAGGGAGTAGTTCACCCTCGGGGCTGAGGGTATGTACCAGTAGCTATGTGTTTGATCTCTCTCTCTCTCTCTCTCTCGTGTTCTTGATTTGGCACGATCTTGATGTATCGCGAGCTTTGCTATTATAGTTGGATCTTATGTTTCTTCTCTCCCTCTTCTCTCTTGTAATGGATTGAGTTTCCCCTTTGAAGTTACCTTATCGGATTGAGTCTTTAAAGATTTGAGAACACTTGATGTATATCTTGCGTGGGATAACCGTGGTGACAATGGGTTATTCTATTGATCCACTTGATGCATGTTTTGGTGATCAACTTGCGGGTTTCGTGACATTGGGAACCTATGCATAGGGGTTGGCACACGTTTTTGTCGTGATTCTCTGGTAAACTTTGGGCACTCTTTGAGGTTCTTTGTGTTGGTTGAATAGATGAATTTGAGATTGTGTGATGCATATCGTACAATCATACCCATGGATACTTGAGGTGGCATTGAAGTATCTAGGTGACATTAGGGTTTTGGTTGATTTGTATCTTAAGGTGTTATTCTAGTACGAACTCTAGGGCTGTTTGTGACACTTATAGGAATAGCCCAATGGATTGATTGGAAAGAATAACTTTAAGGTGGTTTCGTACCCTACCATAATCTCTTCGTTTGTTCTCCACTATTAGTGACTTTGGAGTGACTCTTTATTGCATGTTGAGGGATAGTTATATGATCCAATTATGTTATTATTGTTGAGAGAATTTGCACTAGTGAAAGTATGAACCCTAGGCCTTGTTTCCTATCATTGCAATACCGTTTATGCTCACTTTTACCACTGGCTACCTTGCTGTTTTTATATTTTCAGTTTACAAAAACCTATATCCACCATCCATATTGCACTTGTATCACCATCTCTTCACCGAACTAGTGCACCTATATAATTTACTATTGTATTGGGTGTGTTGGGGACACAAGAGACTCTTTGTTATTTGGTTGCAGGGTTGCTTGAGAGGGTCCATCTTCATCCTACGCCTCTCACGGATTGATAAATCTTAGGTCATCTACTTGAGGAAAATTTGCTACTGTCCTACAAACCTGTGTACTTGCAGGCACAACAACGTCTACAAGGAGAAGGTTGCGTAGTAGACATCAACTAGCAAAGATATTTTTTGCAACAAGGATTATGTTGCGAAGGAGCTTTTTCGACAATGTTCCTGTTGTAAAGGGCTTTGCAAGTTATCCGCTGGCTTCGCAACAGCGTCCATGATGCAAAGGGGCTTTTTGCAACAATGTCCCTATTGCAAAGAATTGCAACCAAGGTTGTCTTGCAAAGTGACTTTGCGCAACATTATCGTTGTTGCAAAATAATGCGACTACAGGAGGAGATCACATGGCTGCGAAACTCGTCATCCAACGGCTCGCGAGGCGGGGATCTTTTAAAAAAAGCTGCCGGCCGCCGTGTAGCAGCCCTCATCTTTTAAGTAATAAACAACGCCCTTTATCAAAAATATCACTGCACAAAACAATTTTTTTTTGTGAATTGGGCAACATAAGAAGAGAGTGTTTTCAATTTCTTGGAAATCTCAGCAGACTTCCCTCAAAAAAAAAGAGAGGAAATGTCAGCAGACGAACGGGTTAAGCACAACCCACGTCATGATGGCAAGATGGAAGTGGAATCTTCTTACCGTGCAACCACTAGTCTCTGTAGCATCGCAATCCTCAGTCTTCACATAAAAATCGTCCCTGCATTGAGCTAACTGCTCAGCCAACAACAACACTAGCCTGAACGAGTCGGAGAGGGACGAGGGGGAGGGGATTGATTACCATAGGTGCACTTCGGTGAGCCTGAAGAGCTTCCCCAGCTTTCTCATCGACGAGGACTCCGCCGGCGGCGGCATCGCCGTTGGCACCGGTTCGCGGGTCGGCGCCGTGTACAACGACCCAGGGCCGGGGCTCGGGTCGAGTACGAGGGCGGGTACATCGCTGGTTGGGGAGCGAGGCGGAGAGTGAGAACTAGAGATGTGGTAGCAGTGGGGAAGGAGGAAGAAGGGAACACCCACCTCAGCTCGCCGTCAACGTCCCGTCCAGGCTCCTGCAGTTTCTTGGTCACCGTGGCCGCCATAAATGACCGGTCGGACTAGGCCAGCGGCTTGGGGAGTAGGACAGAGCAAGCGGCCGGAGCATTCGCCGTGGTGTAACGAACCCAATCGAGAAGGGGGTCGGGAGGACAGCAGGAGGTGAGATTTGCAGAAGAAGATGGGAACAAGGAGAACAAGGGATGGGAATCAAGTGCTCACTCTCCTCACATGCCCTACTCTGTTTTTTGTTAACTAACACACAAGTGGCTATAATTATATACCTCGGTTGTTGTGCATAAGTAGAAGATACCAAGTTGATACCGTGGCTAGCCTACATTTTGGATTGTAGTTTGTCGTTTTTGTTCCTAACTGCGCAATCATGTACATCGATCGATGTTCTCTCCATTGTCATTTTGTATTTAGAACAACTCCATATATTCCCTCCATTCCCTTATACAAGACCACTATCAAAAATACATTTTGCATCTATACAAGACCACTAATAATAACCGAGGCAAAATTTAATGATGTTTTCTCGTAGTAACAACTTGTTTAATACTTGCATGCATGTAGTCATAATACAGTGTACTACTTTCTTCTCATTCCTTCTTTGCATGCATGCAGACGTATTAATGATTTCAGATAATAAGAAAAATAATTGGTTTGCAAAGTAGTCATTAAATTTTACCTAGGTACCTGTAATTTGAGTTTATGGCCAACTTGTGTCTTGGAAAGACGCAACCAATAAGTGCCGGATTTTGTTAAAAATAAGTGCCTGGATTGTGAGGCAGTAGCCTAGACCTATCTTATTCACTGTCAAAGTGACATATTTTAATCAGGATAGAAAATACTTTGTACTACCTCCGTCTAGGTGAATAAGTCATTCGCGTAGTTCTAGGTCATCAATTTGAGGCATTAAATGTGTGTTATATGTCATGAAAAGTATATCACCAGATTTCTACATGGATGTAGTTTCTAAATATATTTTTTTGTTACATATAATACATATTTAGATAGTTAAATCGTCGACCTAGAACTACGCGAATGACTTATTCACCGAGACAGAGGTAGTAAAATGTACCATAATACAAAGCTTTGATGTCTTAGTGATGGACATGAAGTCCCGCCTTTCATCCATTGGCCAGATGTATCCAAGTCTAAGCTACCTGCGATCTTTGTGAGGACCGGGTGGAGAATCAACACAAGCCTAAGCACAAGTGGAAGCGCAAGATTTATCCAGCGTCGGCTGTGCATAGAAGCGCTAGGACCCGTACGACTAAAAAATTTCATGATGAGTTATGAGAGGAATTTTTTGGAATAGCAGAGCTCTGAGAGACTTGGCTAAAAGAAGATTTCTAGCGGAGGCTTCTATCGAGCATAGGTTGGATTTTATCGCCCTCTCTGAAACAGGAAGGGGTAATGTTTCCCCGCAATTCCTAACTAGTTATCGGGAGGTATCGAGTTTGATTGGCACTGCCTCCCCCCGAGAGGAAGATCAGGTGGAATCTTACTTGGGGTTAGATGCGAGATGTTGGAAGTCCGAAGTGTGGTTATGGGAGATTTCGCCATCAAGGTTCGGGTTAGATCTAAGGCTGATGGGTTTAATTGGGCACTGGTGGCGGTATATGGGGCCGCACAACCAGAGCTCAAACCAGATTTTTTGGCGGATCTTCTCCGTATTTGCGGGTCTGAGCAGCTTCCAATCTTAGTTGGGGGTGATTTTAATATTATTAGAAGGAGAGACGAGAAGAATAATGATAATTTTGACGGCCGGTGGTCGTTCATGTTTAATACTATTATTGAAAGCTTGGATCTGAGAGAGATAGAGCTTTCGGGTAGAAAATTCACTTGGGCTAATACTTTGCCAACCCCCACGTTTGAGAAGCTTGATCGTGTCCTCGCGAGCGTTGACTGGGAACAGAAGTTTCCTCTGGTAACAGTCCAGGCGTTATCGCGCGGAATCTCGGACCACACCCCTTTACTGCTTGACTCTGGTGAGGCAACACATGTGGGGAATAAAAATACTTTCCCTTTCGAATTAGCGTGGTTTGAGAGAGAAGGTTTCTTCGATCTAATAGCCAGGGAGTGGGCTAAAGATGCAGGAGGAAGGACTTCTATTGAGAGATGGCAGAATAAGATAAGACACTTGAGAAGTTTCTTACGTGGGTGGGCTAAGCATCTCAGTGGAATTTATAAGGTTAAAAAGGAAAGACTCCTTACTCTTATTCAAGCCCTAGATGTAAAAGCCGAGTCCACTATCCTACAATCCACGGAACTTCATGCTAAAGTAGATGCGGAGATGAGATTGAAAGAACTCCTGCGAGAAGAGGAATTGAAGTGGGCATTGCAGGCTAAGGTTCGCAAAGTTGTCCAAGGGGACACCAGCACTCAATTCTTTCATATGATCGCCAACGGCAAGCATAGAAAGAAAGGAATATTTCAGCTTGAGCAAGACGAAGGGACGATCTTAGGGCAGGAAAATCTAAAATTATACATTACCAACTACTATAAGCAGCTTTTTGGGTCTCCGGAGGATAATTCTGTGTCCCTGGATGAGTCCAGGATTGAGGATGTTCCTCAACTGGCTGCGGAGGAGAATGATATTTTGACTGCCCCGTTCTTGAAGAAAGAGATGTTTGAAACTATTTCTCAGATGAAGAATAATAAAGCTCCGGGGCTGGATGGATTTCCAGCGGAGTTTTATAAAAAATGATGGCATATTATTAAAGGGGATTTGCTTCCGATGTTCCATGATTTATTCTCTAGACAGCTTCAATTGTTTCATCTGAATTTTGGAACCATTACTTTGCTTCCTAAGAAAATAGAGGCCGTGCGAATTGAGCAGTTCAGGCCGATCTTCCTTCTTAAAGTAAGTTTCAAAATTTTCACCAAGGTTGGGACAAATAGACTCACGCAGATTGCGCACTCTATGGTGCAGCCGTCCCAAACTGCTTTCATGCCGGACAGAAACATCCTAGAAGGGGTTGTGGTCCTCCATGAAACGCTCCATGAAATTCACACGAAAAAACTAGATGGGGTTGTTTTCAAAGTGGATTTCGAAAAAGCGTATGAAAAAGTCAAATGGCCATTTCTTCCACAGGCTTTGCGTATGAAAGGATTTGATCCAGCCTGGAGACAACATGTAGAATCTTTCACGCAAAAAGGGAGTGTTGGAATTAAAGTCAATGATGACATAGGTCACTATTTCCAAACACATAAGGGCCTGAGACAAGGAGATCCGATGTCACCTATTCTGTTCAACATTGTAGTCGACATGTTGACGATTCTAATAGGGAGGGCTAAGGATGCTGGTCAAGTAGGTTGTTTGGTACCTCATCTAGTTGATGGAGGTGTTTCTGTCCTATAGTACACCGATGATACTATCATTTTTATGGAGCATGACTTGGCAAAAGCGAGAAACATGAAGATAGTGTTATGCTTATTTGAACAATTGACTGGACTAAAGATTAATTTCCACAAGAGCGAATTGTTCTGTTTTGGAAGAGCCAATGAGGAACAAGAGGCATATAAGCAATTGTTCGGATGTGAGTTGGGGGCTTTACCTTTCACGTATTTGGGTATACCAATTCACCATGGAAAGCTAACAAACAGAGAATGGGACATTGAACAGATTCTGCGTAAATCTTGAGGTGAAGAACAAATGTCTTCTTCGCAAATGGTTTTATATGTTATCTGGTGAGGCCGAGGGAGAGTTTCGTCAGCACGACGGCGTGTTGACGGTGATGATGAAGTTACCGGCGCAGGGCTTTGCCTAAGCACTACGATGATATGACCGAGGTGTGTTTCTGTGGAGGGGGGCACCGCACACGGCTAAAACAATTGTCAACTTGTGTGTCTATGGGGTGCCCCCTCCCCCGTATATAAAGGAGGGGAGGAGGAGGAGGGCCGGCCACAAGGGGCGTGCCCTAAGGGGGGATTCCTACTCCTAGTAGGAGTAGGCTTCCCCCTTTCCTAGTCCAAGTAGGAGAGAAAGGAAGGAGAGGAAGAAGAGAAGGAAAGGGGGGCCGGCCCCCCTAGTCCAATTCGGTTTGGGCTAGGGGGGTGCGCCCCACCTTGGTCTGCCTCCTATCTTCCACTACTAGGCCCATGAAGGCCCAATACTTCCCCCGGCGAACTCATGTAACTCTCCGGTACTCCGAAAAATACCCGAACTACTCAGAACCTTTCCGATGTCTGAATATAGCCTTCCAATATATTGATCTTTACATCTCGGCCATTTCGACACTCCTCATCATGTCCGTGATCTCATCCGGGACTCCGAACAACCTTCGGAACATCAAATCACATAACTCAGAATACATATCATCATCGAACATTAAGCGTGCGGACCCTAAGGGTTCGAGAACTATGTAGACATGACCGAGACACATCTCCGGTCAATAACCAATAGCGGAACCTGGATGCTCATATTGGCTCCTACATATTCTATGAAGATCTTTATCGGTCAAACCGCACAGCAACATACGTTGTTCCCTTTGTCATCGGTATGTTACTTGCCCGAGATTCGATCGTCGGTATCACCATACCTAGTTCAATCTCATTACCGGCAAGTCTCTTTACTCGTTCCGTAATGCATCATCCCACAACTAACTCATTAGTCACATTGCTTGCAAGGCTTATAGTGATGTGCATTACCGAGAGGGCCCAGAGATACCTCTCGGACAATCGGAGTGACAAATCCTAATCTCGATCTATGCCAACTCAACAAACACCATTAGAGACACCTGTAGAGCATCTTTATAATCACCCAGTTACGTTGTGACGTTTGATAGCACACTAAGTGTTCCTCCGGTATTCGGGAGTGTTGCATAATCTCATAGTCATAGGAACATGTATAAGTCATGAAGAAAGCAATAGCAATAAACTAAATGATCATAGTGCTAAGGTAATGGATGGGTCTTGTCCATCACATCATTCTCTAATGATGTGATCCCGTTCATCAAATGACAACACATGTCTATGTTGGGGAACATAGTAATTTCAAAAAATTTCCTACGCACACGCAAGATCATGGTGATGCATA